ATAAATGTGCCTTTATGACATTGTTTTAATATTTTCTTTATTTATAATTTCTGTAGGTATGTAAAATGTTCATGACCCATAACTTTAGGTAGGTGAGTAGAAAGTGAAATACTACTGAAAGTGAAGAAATGATTTAACATTAGTGAAAAATAATTTTCTAGTAGTAGCTAAATTTTATCCATTTGATCCCCACAATCTGTGTCCCATCTCTACCCCCGCCCCCTACTGGGGATCAAACTCATTACCTTGCACTTGTAAGGCAGTTGTGGCACCAGTGAGCTAAATCCCAGACCCCCTCCACAATCTTTTTTACATACATATCAAACTAAAACTAAAAGCTTCAGATTTTTTTTCACATGCTTCAAAGTAACACTTCTTTTCACACTTTCTTCCACTGGTGTCTGACTCTGATGTTAAAAAAATGGTTAGAAGGCCAAATTTCCATCAAGAGTGGTGTATTGGAGAGGAGACCAATGAATGCAAAGACCTTTCACAAAGACCATTTAAAAGAATGACATCAATTTATCTGGTTTTATAATTTTTTAAGTAAGTAGAAACAATATTTTAAAATTTTCAGGTACTTTCTAATTTGTCCAGTTTAGTCATCCAGCTGACAAAGCAGAGCAACACCACGCTTGATCCAGTGCTGAATGGGTAGGTCTGTTTTTAGCAACACTGCAATGACAAAGTTAGTAGAATGTCCTGTAGTGGAAAGAGTTCCTTTACGTTCACTTGTCTTGTACAGTGGACAGATATAGGCATCTGACTTCATAATCTTGGACTTATGTGCTTGTAAAAAAGAGAAATATATTCATTTGGTAAAGAGAAAACAGTCACTGGTAATAAAAGCACAATTGTTGTCTTGTAAAAATGTAAGGTTTTATGATATTTGAAGATCTTAAAGTTTTTGCTTTTACAGTTGGCATATTATTGGTATATTATTATATGATTCATGTAGTAAATGATTCTAGGTCTAGAAGTCCAGAATAAATTTTAAAGTCCTGATCTCTTAGCAGGGATGAAAGGACTCAAGAGGATTTGGAAGGCAAGGAATAAGAAAAGGAGAAGGCCGGGGATTTAGCTCAGTGGTTTCGCTGCCTGCTGCGTAAGCACAAGGACCCGAGTTCGATACCCAGTACCAAAAAAGAAAAAAAAAAAGGAGATAAGGAAGGAATAAAACACAGTATGAGTAACGAGAAAGATTCAAAAAGAGAAACACTACTACAGCACTAATAGAAGAAATCCATTAATAAGAAGTTAAAAGTATGTCTTTAGCATGTTACTAGTAAGAAAGAAAAATACACTAACAAATTCTTTTTTGCCAACTCAACAAAAAGAATCTTCAATTTCTGAAAAGCCAGATATAAAGTATTAGTAGTCTTTCTAAACTAGCTACATTTCTCAAAATTGAACCACATTAATAATGGAGATATTTGATAGATTGGGTGGTGATTCTTGGGTGATTTGCAAATGTTTTTATTTATTGCTTTTTAAAAATAAGAAAATTTGGCTGGGTATGGTGGCGCACCCCTATAATCCCAGCACTCAGGCTGAGGCAGGAGGGTTGCCTTGAGTTTGAGGCCAGCCTGAGCTACACAGTGAGTTCAAGGCCAGCCTGAACTACATAGTGAGACCTTGTTTAAAAAAAAAAAGAAAGAAAGAAAGAAAGAAAGGAAGAAAGGAAGAAAGGGCTGGGGATTTAGCTCAGTGGTTCCACCGCCTGCCTCACAAGCACAATAACCCGAGTTCGATACCCAGTACAAAAAAAAACAAAAAACAAAAAGAGAATAAGAAAATTAGGGTTACAGGTATAGCTCAGTGGTAGAGCACTTGTTTGGAATTCGGGAGGCCCTGGGTCCCATCTACAGCAATGAAAAAAAAAAATAAAAAGAATTAAAAAATACTGATAATGGCACAAGGAGGAAGGACCAAGTGGCTTCTCTAAGGGGGCAAAAGTGGCTTCCACCCCTTGTGGCTTGCAACATATATGCCTTGGCTGGCTCTTTGGCTTAAGAGTTTCTTATAGCCAGAAAATCCTAGACACTAGCTGGAGACTGTGTCAAGCCTATTTGTGTCTCTAAATAGTATGCAAAGGGAGTTCAGATTCAAAATATGGATGGCAACTATTCAATCTCAATTTTTTTTTTTTTGGTACCAGGGATCAAACTCGGGTCCTTGCACTTGCGCATCAGGTGGTGGAACCATTGAGCTAAATCTCTGGCCCGCAACTATTCAATCTCTGAAAGCCTTTGTAGAAGTGTGTGGGAAGTATAAAGAAAATGATCCAGGGCCTGGGATTTAGCTCAGTGGCACCGTGCCTGCAAGCTCAAGGTCCTGAGTTCGATCCCCGGTACCAAAAAAAAAAAAAAAAAAAAAAAATCCATCCTGTGAGCTAAGAGCACAAAGAAGCAGAATGATAGTCCTAAAATAATATAAATGCTACACACAAAAAAAGGGGAACAATGCATCTCCAATGTGGATATTTTGTCATTTGAAAATTACAATCAAGTTAAATCCTAAAAGGTTTGAACAAAAATTTATTTCAAGTAGCAGTTAATAAGTTATCATTATTTTCCCTAAAACTCAAGGAAATTTTGTGAAAAAATATATTTACATGGTTTCATCCATATGATGGGCATCAGGTCAAACAGAAGTTTGTGATATTGTTCAGCAAGCAAGCCACTGTAAAGAGAAATTGACAAGTTATTAGTTATTTCTGAAATTTGCTTCTTAGAACAGATTGCTACTTGGATATTGGTTTTTATATAGGAGAAGAAACATTAAAAAAGAAGAGGGGGGGAGGGGAAGAAGGCAATGAAGAATTGAGAGAAACAAAAGAAAATTATGGAAAGACGAAATATAACACAGTGGACAAACATCAGTGCCTGCCTGTTAAGTACCACTCACAAGGCAGACATTATGCCATCACAGTTGACTCTGACAGTGACCTTGCTTTATCTCACAGGTAAAGATGGGGGCTCAGAGATGCTGAGTACTCTTTTCACAATCACATAGCTCTTAAGTGCAAGTGTCAAGATTCAAGTATAGATCAGCCTATCTAGGAAATTTGATTACTTTTCATTATGCTCCATTGTTTGTTGAAAAGGAAAAACGAATACATATAGAGTGATCATTATGTATAGCAAACATGTAGTAATAAAAAAATAATGAAAAAGTACTGGGCACGTAGTTCTGTGTTAGAGCAATTGCCTAGCATGTGCGAGGCCAGTACTGCAGATAAAGAGGTAAATGAAAAAGGAATAAATATAGAAGGCAAAATAAGTGAACAAAAATGTCAGAAAAGTGATTGAAAAAGGAAACTAATAAAAAGAACTATGTGTAGTGGTGTCTCCTCATAACGCTGTTTCAGAATTATCTCTGTGGAATTACTTTAGTGCTCAGTGTTAGGCATTTTTTTCTATCTCAGTCTTTAATGTCAATCTTTAACATGCCCTTGGGAGCAAAGTCTAGCCCTGCCTTTGGAAATGGAGAATTATGCCTATGAATGGATTGGTAAAAACCAAGATGCTAAGGGAAATATTTTCTCCTCTCCTGCCTCTATTTTATTTTTATTAGTACATGTTTGTGACACATAATGAATACATTCATCATGGGGAATTGGTACATATTCATTTCTTAATCTATTTTACTTTCACTTCCTTTGGTTCCCTTTTCCTCTATCCTTATTTCCCCTTCCCATCTGCAAAAGGTCTATTTCCCTGTTTATTTTGCTCTTTAAATTGTTTATGCTTTGGGCTTCTCATATAAGAGAAATCATGTGATATTTAACCTTCTCTGTCTGATTTATTTCACTTGACATTACTAACCCTATTTATTTTAAACTAGGAATAGTTTCCTAAGAGTGAAGCTGGAAATTCAATGTTTATTCAAAGTATTTATTAATTATTTCATGAACATGCAAGAAACAGTTTTCTGTTCACTAAAAAGAAACTTTATTATAACTCAATTATTGAAAATTGGGAAAAATATATAAAGAAAATTAGGTCAGTTCTATACATTATAAAATGAAAGGTAACAAAATAAAGCAGGAAAATAACTTCACCAAATTTTCTACTGAGACCACTGAAATATTTGAAATATTAACTAAAAATTGTTTAGACCTAAAAATAATCACACAGCAGTTGTCCCAACCTGAGTAATGATTTATGTAAGAATTCTGATGTATTATTTGACTTATTCCCTAGAAGAGGTCTTTTAATTAAAAAAAAAATAGCACCAGACCCCGAAACCACCTGCCTATATTACCAATGATTCAGGTACAACCAAAGAGAGTTTTACAGTTGAAAACTACTGACCTTGCTCTGTCCCAGCGTGCTCCATCAAGATACAATCCATGTATGTAAACACCATCTTCTGGTGCTGTGTCAGATGTATCAGAAGGAATCACCTGCAGGGAGAAGCCCACACTAGGAATGCTCTCTAATACGCAACTTAGTCTGAGAAAGGAAACACTGGCTAAATATTCAGAACACATTCAGGAAACTCTATTATGTTACATAGCTATTATAAGCTATTACAGCTTGTTTAAGTATAAATCTTTTCTGCTATAGTATATGGTAATGTATAGCTCTTTTTGAAGCATTTTATGAGGTTTTACTCCAGCATACATTAATTTTGTTTAAGTAGAACAACATTGGATTATTTGAATCAAATATTGAAAATAGGAAAGTTCTATACTAGTGATATATGTTCTTCATGGAACACAAATTGAAAAGTAAAATTTCCTATAATGGGTCATATGAATTCTTCATAACCTTCTTGCTTAAATAAAATGGATTTGTGCTGTAATGATGTACTGTTGAGTTTAAGTAGTTACTGTACCTCAAATTCATATCCTAGTAAATCAATAGGGATGGTGTATTTTCTGGCATAATTCTGCATAGCTCCAGTTAAAAAGGCTTGGGTGAAAAAGAAACCTGAGAGCCAAAACACACAGGGTTTTCCGGAGTCATACCAGTCCTATAAAAGGGAAAACAAAATTCATTATGTCTATCCTTTCACTTCTCCAAATGTTACTTGACATACAATTCCTGATACTGATGTGTGTGTGTGTGTGTGTGTGTGTCCCACATACTCCATCACTAGTATGATCAAGCACACTGTCCTAGCTCTTTTCCTTTCTAGTTACACTTCTTGGAAATTCAAAATAATGTAAGCTTTAATCTGAATGAAATACATTTTGAAAGATTCAAACCTTCTACAAAAGACTAAATGTAAATTATTTGGGGATTTATTATGTTGCTTACCCCACTCAAAAGCCACTACGATTAAAATTAGCTTTAGCCCTCATGTGTTGATTCCAGTTCCTTAACCCTTCTAATTCCTTGTCTCCGTGCCCAGTGGCCCCTCCAGTTCAGATGCTCCTGGTCTTCTTTCTGTAATAGTGTGTACTGCCCTCTTGCTTCTTCCCTCTCTCTGCTGAATACATCTAGAACAATGCTGCTTGGAAAACATCTGACCATGCATAGTTTGGATCAGATTTATCATCTCATATAATTCTTCAGCAACCTACTGAGTTCTTCATCCACCAAATTAAAGCCTAAGCTTCTTAGTCTCCTGTGCAAGATACTTCAGAGTCTGGTCCCAGAGTGTAGTTTTAGCTCTATTTCTCTTTTTCTTCAAGTGTCTAATTAAACTGAACTTTTTGGTGGTCTCTTCTGTGCTGGCTGAGTGCCTGTTGTTTTTTTCTGCCTGTGTTAAAGTAATACTACCCTTCTTTCCCTCCCCAAGGCCTTCCAGTGGTGCAGTTTCATGTAGCCTCTTGGGGTAGGTACATGATTTATGCCTGGTCAGTCACACTTCAAGCCATAGTTATTGACCAAAGAATGGACATGGGATCTATTCAAAGCCAAAGATGCAGAAACTCTTATTTTTAGGGAAAAGAAACTCAACTTTTTGAAGTTGTGTGAGGTAAGGCCATAGTTGCTGCTGTTATCCTGTTGCTATAGATGAGAATCTGAGAATAGAGTTAACCCAAAGGAAACAGAGCTGAGAGTACAAGAAGCCAGGACCAGGTAACCATGTTAGCCCCCAAGTCAAAACATATCTGTAACTACTTTAACTCCTGAACTTTTCAGTTACGTGGGGGAACAAACTTTCTTTCTGCTATGTCAGAATTTTTGTTTGTTACAAAAGAATTGATCCTATATGATACAGTACCTTTTATCCCACAGCTACACAGGTGTCTCAGTAACTTTTCTGGGACAAACTACCCCAAACCCACATATTAAAGGAGCAGAGATTTATTTTGGCTCACAGTTTTTTTGTTTTGTTTTG